TGTGTGTGTGTGTGAAACCTGAAATGGGCCAAAAGGTCAAAAGGTTCTAGGGGGCTTTCAGAGGTCACAAGTACCTTCACCCGTACACCTTTATAAATTTAAAAGGGTGGCATGACACGAAATATATTTATGCTGCCTTGACGATCACGAATGAACTACAATTCACCAATATGTGTGAACATTGTGAGATGTTGATGGGACTGAAATACAGGTTGACAGAGGAGGAAGGAAGGAGGGAAGGAAGGTAGGTTGGTAGGTAGGTCGGTAGTAGGTAGGTAGGAAGGAAGAATAAACATTGACTGTTCAATATTGACACATTCGTTTCACTTTTCATCACCATGTCTTAACATTTTTTAGACAGTCAGGATATCTCAGTATATAGTCCTTATCTATCAGAAGTCCTCCATATTCAAGATGAACTAGCGCAGGTATTACTTTGCGAAAGGCATACTGTCAAATAAGCATGAGCATCCTTCAAAAGCCTAGTTAGCTGCTTTTGTCCGAGAATACCCCAGTTGTTGCAAATCTGCTTTTAGAGCTAGTTTTTTATTTTAAAAACAGTCAGTGACGAGGTAAAGCAGCTTTACGAGTACACAGCCATTTGAACACCGTGACGTTACAAAAACACCATCAACGTAGTGCCCTCGGTTGTGATCTGAACTGTGCCGTTTTGCGCCTTTGTCAACTCAGAAAGCATTTGCTACTTGCAGTCACAACATTCCTTTAATGGTGTGTCTTAGAAAACAACCGCGGGCTTGTGTGATTTTATTGTCGCATGTTAATAAATGATCATTGAAGGTAAGTGTTCGTCGTTAAAGGTGTTAAGCGACAAGCGCCAGTGGGATGCATCTCAGTACCTGGCCGTACACCTTCGGCATGGAAGATTCACTAGTGCTCCGGCGATTTCGCTTTGGCGGAAGGGCACCGTAGTCCGACCCGCCTTCAGCAGCACCAAGAGGGGCCAGTCGTAGAGCTGAAGCCTCGCTGCCTCCTCCATCTGCGTCTGGTAAATCCTTATTTGCGTCTACTGTAAAATATCCTCTCTGTTGCGGTGGTATGAAGCGCTCCTCATTGTGAAGATAAAGTGTTGATGAATGTATTCCGACAAGCCATAAGATAATGATGTAAAGCGAACGCCGAAGCGGACACAGCATCCTGCCTGCTTGTGGTAACGCCATGTTTGTGTATGTTTGGCTTTCAGGTTAGGTAAACGCCAGCCAAGAGCTCCTTCTACAGGCTGCGATGGGCCCAGTGTTGCATTCAGGAACTGTAGGTATTTTTGGAAGAAAAAAAATTCACCTTCTACACATAGACCTGGTTCATGCGCTGCGCTTTACTCTTATTGTTACACTTAATAAAGTTCATTGTCTTGCAAGTGTGCTCCATGATCAATGATCAAACCACTGTCATTTGCATACATTGCTTCTATGTCATGCACTGCTGTGAACTGGACAAATTCCTTTGGAGTCAAAATCACATTTGATGGCTGTAAAAGGACAGTATTTTTATTTTTAAACGGCAGCCCACTTGTTTTGTTATGTTAACAGCTGGAAACGGAATTTACCCATCTGCAAATGCCAGCTGTAGTTAACAGGTCCAAGTGAGGAAGACATACATTCTGATGGGTGAACAAAAGAACAGATCACATTCTTGTGTCTTGTAACTTATGGCCCATTGAAGTTTGCTGTTTTTGTGAAACAACGTCAATCACATCGTATTCCATTGTGGTGGAGTACAAAGAAAAAAACCCCCCTATCCATCCTTCTATTTTTAACACCACTTATCCTGAACAAGGTCACAGGAGCCTATTCCAGCTGACTTCGGACTGAAGGCAGACCACACCCTACACTGGTGGCCAGTCTCTCACAGGGCACATCTTGAGCCAAACAACCATTGACCATTCACACACACCGTCACTGAATGGGAACCAATCCCACGCTGCCCAGTGCCCACACACAAGTTGGGTGACTGCACCACTACACCATCAGAGACTTAATGATAAAATCTTGAAAACAAATTTGTCCAGATGCATTAATTTCTAGTCATTCTTTCAAATACACTCATTTGCTCTTAATTATATACTCAGACAACATAAATCATAAGTCTTGTTGTTGCTCTGGTTTATGTGACAAAATGAAAAAGTCACCGTTCGTACCCATCTACACCAATCAAATTCTTCCTAATTCCATGAACACCTTGCACAACGTGATAAATTAATCATTGTATGAATTATGTTCTGTAAGCAGAAAATATACCAAGTACCTGTGTGCTATTTTATTTAAACTGCTGTACGAATTTTAGATTTTCGAGGTACATTGAAGGCAACATATAGACGAGCTGATGCTTCTCAGCGAAATAAATCGTTTTTTTAAACAACTAAATTATGACATACAAACTATTAAAGTAACTTCACGAAGATGTTCCTGTTTTTCAAGACATATTAACAAAGTTTCGACCAAAAAATCCCGCACACGTTTTGTAAGTAGGAAAATTCGTTTTAATTGTACTAGCACACAGGTAAGCTAGGTATTTATCCACAAACACAAGCCTCTTCATGATTGCTAAACGTGTACCTTAACTGACAGTGACGACTGCGCGTTGTGTGTATGACTAAATAATGATACCTGGATATCTTGCACAGAATAAAATAAGTGGCGTCGAAGACCTCCATCGTAAAATAACAAGGAGATTGAATCAGGTTTAGTTTACAGTCTCACAAGTCAGGTTATGCTAAGCATATCGATTAAGAATGTAAAATTACGACACGTATTTTTAATTTACAGTAACATGTCACAAAAGGGATTAAAAGACAGTACAGGATCTAAATATACGACACCCCAGGAGGTAGGTGGAGTTGTTTCGTTGGATTGATGGAATTAAACTTTATTTTGGAATCAGTTTTCCTTCCATTTAAATTAGATGGAACAAACTTGTGGAAATACAGCCAAGTCATCGCAAATCACAAAGAAGAAACGCCATTACCAAACAGCGACTAAAGTGGATTCATTTGAAACTACAGCTGCAGGTACGCATTCCTACAAACGATAGGATATCATAATTGCCAGACATTTAACCAGACGGGACTCACAGAAATGAGGTTCAACGTTTCTGAAATACAGTGATATAAGGCCCTGCAATAATGATTTTAGTCAAGTTGATTCTGAAAATGTTGAATTAGAATAGAATTTCAACGTGTTATTCGGTAACTGGACCCATACTACAACAATCAATTATAGGATAAGCGATGCAATGTCATCTGGGTAACCAGTAAAATGACAAACCATTGCAACCAAAACATGATACTTGTCACCTCGCCTACACATTCGCTTCATTATTCTATTGTAATTAGTTGATCATCTTGTTGCAGGTGCAGGTCAAGATATCAGCGTGCTTTTTTCAAAGTTTGCCGATATGTTAAGGTATGTCACTTAAACAACTGTCATTCAAGTTTTATTCCTGCACCTGTGCGATTTTCTGACTATCATACACATAAGGTAAATATAATTTAATGATTTAATCTCACCAGTGAGAAATGGAGTCAACTAAATGCTCAACCACCTTTTCAGGCTTCTGAAAGGCTCAACAGCCTTTCAATCATTTTTATGTGGGCAAAGATTTATTTATTGCATGTGGATGCAGAGGCCGTGTGTTCCTGTTGCTTTTGTTCTTTGCCCAAGAGGCTTTTGCTCTGGGTCAGTGTTTCCTAACCTTGATTGAGCCTCGTCACATATTTTACTTATTGCAAAATTGCAAAGCACACCCAACAAACAAAAGTGCAAATGGATACAGGTGGCTACACCAGCCCTGTTTATTTACCTTCTGCCATCTAGTGGAAGAACATTAAATTGTCCTGCTTGTTACTCTCCCTGGCATAGAGATACAGACGCTCCCCGACTTACGAACATCCGAGTTACGAACAAAGGTACATCCGAACATTTTTACAGGTATGTCGAAAAAGAAAAGAAAAAGATTTTGTATTGCGCGCCTTTTTCCGAGTACAGGTACTGTAGTGCTTCTTTCCGCCGCTAATACCGACGTGAGGCGCTGTGAGAGCTCGCCCAGCATCCACCCTGAATCCGGCTTCCTCTGCCCAGTTGTTAAAGAAGAGGCAAGCCATTTTATTTCAAATGAAAGTGGCAATAATAAAGAAGCTTGATGCGGGCGAGAAAATGGTGAGTGTTGCACGTGCATACAACATGAATCGTTCGACCATCGGTACCATTTATAAACAGAAAGATCGCATAATGGAACACGTGAAAGGTGCAGTGCCGATGCAATCGACGATCATTAGCAAGAAAAGAGGGAAAATCTTAGAAGAGATGGAGAAACATTCCATACAAAATATAGCACCGAAGCAACTTATGAACGAATTCACCTTACGAACGATCGTTCGGAACGTATCTCGTTCGTAAGCTGGGGAGCGTCTGTACACCATTCATGTTAATAAATAATAATTTTCAGACCACTTAAGTGAAACTGGAAGATTTCCTGCAGCATACCTTATGATCTTTCATGGCACATTAATGGTGGTTGGGAATCATTGCAATAGATCTTGCCACCCCTCCATCAGTGTTCTTTGACAGTACTTAATCTGTTCCTCTTACTTGAATAGTAACTCGTGTCGTTTACAACAGAAGTGGAAAACAGGTGGCAGTTCCAGCAGAGAGTGTAAAATAGAGCAATATCAACGTTAGTGCTTTCTCCCTGGTTCTTGCCGAAATACCCTTTTTTTTTCTTTAAGAAAACCATAATTTAATTTCATCAAAGTAACCGTAAAAAAAAAAAGAAATTTTGCATTTACCTAGTAATACTACATTCTAGTAAATTCTTTCTGGACTTTTTTTTTATTCAGTGAGAAAGCAGCGGTGGATATCACTCAAAGGAAGGAGCTGGAGAGCCTTTTGCAAGAAGCTCAAAACCTTGAATCCATCCTAAAAGAGAAAAAGAATCACCTGAAGCAGACATTGGTTCACATTTCTGATCAATTGTAAAATTCACTTCGCCTTATGAACTGTATACATGAGATGTTTCATTTTATAGAGAACTAAGATTTTCTGTTCTCTTTAAAGTGTGCATTGCCTCTGAATTCACCCTGTTATATCACATGGCAGTAAAGTTAGCATAATCTGGCATTTATGTGACTGTTATTGCTTAGGTTAATATATCTTTACTACTTTATTTGTTTACTGCATTGGATGTTTCTTTTCAGAATTCACCTGTTTGGTTTCACATTCTCAAATAATTGCAAACCACTAAAAGTGTGTGTGTTTGCGTGCATGCGTGTGTGTCCTTTCACTGCCATTTGCAATAATAATACCATGTCTGTAATATTCATTCTGTTATTAGCCTGACCCTTTGATGAGAACTGTTTAATTTCACTGTCAAATGTTAAAACTCCAATAAGTTGCCAATGTCTATTCCAAAGAAAGAACCACACGGTGGAGCCAAACTCTTTGTTGCAAATGTGAACAAGACTTTGTCTTGAAGTTGCAGTTGATGAACCTGCCTTGCTCAACCCCAGAACAAATACAGTAGCCTACACTTTGGCAATACCTTGATTTGTTTATTTTTGAAAGAAGAAAAAAGCATATGGTACAGGATTACAAACAAGAGTTTATCTAGAAACACAATTGACAATCTAACCTCTTTGATAAAGAGGAAACAACATATCCTCTTCCGGTTTTCAGGTGTCCTAGTAGACGCTGAACTGGTCACCACCCAGTCGCAAGGCACATACAGACAAACAACCATTAATATGGTAATACTTAAAATAAAATATGGCCCTATTTGAGATATGCAGAGTCATATACGTATCAACTAGTGCAGTATGAAATATGATGAACCATCAAATGGCTAAACGGCTATGCTGTGGCATTGAATGTTCCATGGAAGCCGTACGGGATATTCACTGGCACCTCAGCCCTGCCCAGCTCCTCGAAGGTCTTAGCATCCAAAGCCAAGAGGAATGTACTCTTGTCCTGAAAAAAAATTTAAAAAGAGGGATAATAATTAGCAGTTTTGGATTGGAAGACTTCCAAAAAGCAAATGTGACAGCGTGTTTTTTTTTTAATGATGTTATTTGTATCGAACATTAAATTTGATTATTTCATTTTTGGGGTAGTAAGTGTACATTGTTTCTTGCATCATATTGATGATGTAGTGTGCAGATAAACTAATTGTGCACTTGAAGACTTCTTTTCCGAAATGACATAAAAGCCAAATCAAATAATTGCTCCATCGATCTTTCCATGCCGTTCACTGTGTACGTTCTGTGAAGTTTTGTTGAAGGAGTCTGAAACAATGCAAAGAGGACATCTTTGTCAAATATGTCGGTTTGGATTCATACTTTTTTTTTTTTCAAAGACTCGTCAAAATGGATTAATCGTGTTCGCTTGCGAACATTTAACAGGTTTTGCACATTTTGACCTGGCAAGGTTATGTTACTTTTCAAGTGCAACATAGGTTAGCTTGGTGATATAGATTATGAGATGAATGTTTTTTTTGTTTGTTTGTCCCCCCCCCCACACACACACACACAAAGTTTTACTAAACTGGAGCAACCTTATTTGGAGTGATGACCACTGACAAAATAACACCATCATCCTCCTCGGTGGCATCTGGGGAAGGTACGAAGACAGGCTCTGAGGGATATAGGCCAGGTTGTTCCCAGACCTTGGCAGAAAAAGTAGAGGAAAGTTATGAAACCTTAAAACCAGCAGGAAGTGAACCGGTGATTGTTACCGTTGATTGTTTGTGTAAACTCAAATTGCAATTTTCGTTTTGCCCCAACACTGTTGCTGAACACCAAAAGAAAAGCTACGGTTCGCCCACCTTCATGTGTTTTCCTTGAATGTCCATCTTGATCAGTGTGTCGCCGACGAGGTGTCTGAAGCCGCAGCCGTAGAAGTAACGGTAGGGGCGGGTGTTGTATTTGCCGTAGTTGATCTGAGGAAACTCAAGACCGCCGTACTCGTGAAGGTCTTCACCATGGAGATCCTCATGGGTACAGAATATCTGCATAAATGTTCAAGTGATTTGATTAATGAAACTGAAGAAATCATCTGAAATCTTGTGCCGTGTTTTTGTTTTGTGTGTGTGTGTGTGTGTGGTTTTTTTTTTTTAATTCTTGTGAGACAATTGTAAGGCCTGTGACTGGCTGGCGACCAGTTCAGGGTGAAGCCCACCTTTTACCCACTGACAGCCGCGACTGACTGCCTGCCGCCGAGCCTAGTGAGCATAAACAGTTCAGAGAATGAAAATGTTGAAAGAAGTCTACCTTGTTCTTGGCGATCCTTAACGAAGTGGCTGAGCTGTTAGGCAAGCTGTTCAAGTTCTGGTCGTACGGTGTTTTGTCATCAACATTGAGTGGGAGAACAAAGCGACGTGGGAAGATTCTACACAGTGTGTTATACACCTGTGGAAAAAAAGATGCTGTACTTTTAGTCTTCATCCAGAAAAATAATTGTCCTGAAACCATCTGTTGGATAGATGTTATTTCCTGTGGCGATGTGTCGTGCTGCTTGTTCAACTTGCTTACCTCATCAAGATCTTCCCCAGACTTGCGAAGGTTCTGGATATTGTAGTTTGAAATTATCTGGCCATCATCTGATACGCACATATCTATGATTAAATGACCATCTTCCTCAAAGGCGTTGATTTGGTGGAAGGTTGTCAGTGGCTGAGCAAGGTACTGGAAGGAGCTCACCTATAATTAAAACGAGTTTAAAAAAAAAAAAGTGCTTGAGGCACAGTCTGCAGACTAAAAAGACTTTCATTCATTTTGACCTCACCTTCCCGTTTTTTTTCAGAACCAGATGGAAGATTGTTTTGAGTTTGGGGTCCCAGAAGAAGCTGTCACTAACGCTCTTTCCTCTCAACTTGCCTGTTACGATTCTCAACAGGTCCATCTTGAGGGGCTGCTCAATAAATACCACGTAGTTCTCAGACATTGCTGCAGTGGGTAGGACAAAGAACGCTTCATTTGCCATGATGCTGATAACTTGTTGGCAACAAAGATTTTCTCTTGAGAGGCTAACAATCACCCTCACATCACTTTAATGGGAAATATTACTATAGTTCAGGGGTCACCAATGTGGTGCCCACGGGCACCAGGTAGCCCGTGAGGACCAAACCAATAGCCTGCCTGTGCTAGGATTGTGATTTGCTCATACAGTAGAAATTATGAATTAAAAATGCAAACACGTGCTTAAACAGATAGTTGAGTTACCCTATTGGCCCCATTCCACTCAAGTTAGTTTATTTTTGTTTATTATTATTTTATTTTATTTTATTTCATTATTTTTTTTACTTGTATGGCACAGTGTTCAGGACATTGTATACGCGGGAGGGCAGTAACTGTGATCCGTTTCACCGGGAAGTCTATGTGATGTATGTACTATTTTGATGCCCGGAACTGATGTGGTTCTGTGTATCTGAACACGTGGCCATGTTTTTCTTTTTTATAACTGGTTAAAAAATTCAATAAAAAGTTTAATAACAAAAAAAAAAATGCAAACACGGGCAGAATTTTGAGACATCTTTAAGATGATCAGAGCCTGAAAATTAAAATCATTAAGTATTCAAAATAACACATTCTAATATTATTAAATCTAATTTGTACAAATGTTATTTCAGACGTGTATCAATTTGGTAGCCCTTCACACAATCAGGACACATGAAGTAGCTCTCACTCTCAGGTTGGTGACCCCTGCTATAATTGTTGTAGACACTAAGTTTAGGGAATATAATGCCATCACCTATGGGGAAGCAAATTAGATCTGGTTTTGGTTACCGGTACATGAAAAAGCTGAATTTTATCAACTCTTCAAATATTAGGAAACAAAAAAAAAGGAGTGTTTGATGTCTAATATACCAAAAAATGTTGTGTTGTGGGGTCGTTTTGAAGTATGTTTCGGGACAGGACTTTGCAGGTCTGTTGCTTACCAAAACTGTGGTAGTAGGAGGGTTTGGCAGAGTCCGTTGATGGAATAGAGCAAAGCACCTTGGCTCCCTCCAGGGTTTCTTCGCTGCTGTATTTCGTTTGAGGCACTTGGATAATGTTGTAATATGACCCTGAGAGTACATACACATAGAGTTTGTCACTTATTTTACCAAACAAGTCGAGCAAAGCGATTTTTATCTTGAAGTACTGAAGTACTCTACCTTTAAGGGAGAATGAATTCCCCATGTTGTATGTTGTTCCATCAACATCGACGTGAGGGTGGGCGGTGGCGCTGTTAACAGCAATAAAATCCCTCCAGTTCACCTAGTCGATACAGATTCAATCGAGACAAGGCGTTTACTTAAAAAAAAAAAAAAAGAGTCTAGACTGGAAACCCCCTTCTCTTAGACCTGCTGTCATTAGATGATCATTTTAGATGTTAACCCTTTTGGTGAGAATATCGGACAAACCCAACAAATGAGGCAATTCCACTTCGGGTTGCTCTTTTTCAGGAGCGCATCACATCTTGACAGATGCATAATGTTTGTTTTGATTTTTTTTTTTTCCAGTCTCAATGAAAGATTTTTTTCTTAGCATGTTTACGGGCGGCGGCCCAGTGGGGGACTGGTTAACGCGTTGGCCTCACAGTGCAGAGGTACAGGGTTCGATCTGGCCTTCCTGTTTGGAAATTGCATGTTCTCCCGTGCCTGCATGGGTTTTCTCTGGGTATTCCAGTTTCCTCCCGCATTCCAAAGACATGCGTGGCAGGTTAATGGAACACTGTAAATTGTCCCTAGGTATGATTGTGAGCGTGGGTGGTTGCTCAGCTATGTGTGCTCTGCGATAGGCTGGAAACCAGTTCAGGGTGTACCCCGCCTGCTGCCCAAAGACGGCTGGGATAGACTCCTTTTGACAGCACCCACGTGAGGATTAGCAGATCGGAAAATGAATGGATGGATAGATGGTTATGGGCTTTACCAGCCATTGTATGCCAATGCCAATGAAATTAGCTGTGATGCACAGTTGAGTCGTAGCAGAAATATTTGTTTCTATACATCCATCCATTGTGGAGTCGAGGATGGGGAGAGAGAAGCGTCGGCGCAGAGCACAGATGCGTATCTGGAAGTGAGAATCGGCGCTTGGAAGTGAAACCGATTTAAGATAAGATAAGATAACCTTTATTAGTCCCACACTGGGGAAATTTGCATGGGACAGAAGTGAACCAATCTTTTTTCATCAACTGATGCTACAGCTTCTTATTTACTTTCAAATTTAGCTTGTAGCAGACGTATGCACATTTTGAGCATGACGTCGCTAATCCACTGGTGAAGGGACACTTTGATTATCTCCTCTTTCATTTAGAAGTGCTTTAGACAACAAAGCATATGAGGGGAAAAGTGGTTAAGATTGCACGACTGTCCAGGTTTTTTTATGTTTTGTGTTGTGTTTATTTTATTTAATGTTAACTGTTTTGTAAAGCGCTTTGTTGCAGTGTTGCAGTTGCAGCTGTTGTGAAAGTGCAATAGAAAATCAGGATGTATTGTAAAATGAAACTGATCATTACCTTTTTGGTTGCCTCCAGCGTCTCAGGGTCGATCTTGTGCATTATGTTCGATTCAGTGCTGACATAGTAATCGCCTTTGTAGGTCACAACGCTCACATTGGCATTATCGGTGTGCTCTAGAGCAGATACAAGAAGTTTCCAAATTACAACACAGATCAGTTGAATTCATAATCATTGGTTTGTGTGATTAAAATACTGTGTAATGGAATCAGCTTCTTTTCTGCGGTTTGACAGTGGACTTACTTGGTAATTCAAATCTTGAGAGGAAGCGTTGGAAAAAGTTTTTACAAGGGTCTGGCACACTGACTGTTCCAAATTCGGAAACAACAATCCGGTTCTTTTCATTGTTGGCCTGGTAACTGTCACTGGAAAGGAAGCGGCTCCTGTAAGTCACCTGCCCCTTGGAAATTTTAAACTGATGTAACAAAGCCATGCCATCAAACCAGTGGTTAAACCTGAGGAAGAAAACAAAAAACACTTACTGGAAGCCTCGGATGGAGGTGCTGCCTTTATTACCTGCATAGTATTTCTTTCTCTCAAGGCATTGTACTTACTTCTGGTTTCCGATTTCAAACTTCCCTGGGCCATTCCTCAAGAAACTGCCGCTGATCCATTCTGGGAATTTGCCTGTGATGTTTGTTTGGATGGGTTGTGGAGTCTCGCCGACAGTGCACACAATCTTCTCGATGCAAGGCAGATCGTGCACATCTGTGAAATGATGAGTGTTCTTCTTGGACCTGGGTTTTTTCAGTGCTGGAGGAAAACATTAAAACCATATAAAGATACAATGAATATCTCATCAATTCGTCCATGTGTTCTGGTAATAAAAACTCTTTACCTGTCTGGTTGTTCTGCTGGTGTTGAGTGGCATTCATGGCTGTACTTTTAGATCTGGTCACGGTGTGAAGAAACTGCACGCTCCTGCAGTGGTGCACTTTCTGCAAGACTGGTGTTCAGTTTTATACAGTGCAGTCCCCGGTATTATGACGTACTCCAATACAGATAAGTCAGGAAGCGACAGTGATTATATAAGGCACGAGGAGCCAACTTTAGAGCCGATTAAAGCAAATGTAATTTTAGTATCCAAAATTGATTGGTTGCACTGGCAAGTGGCAGAATAACTGTGGATAAATTCAGCCCGCCATACATACTGCCTTATTTTGTTGTGCCATGGTTCTTGCTCATGCTCCCCTGGAAGGGGGGGGGGGGGGGG